TGAACTTTCAAGTACCGTAAATAAAGCGGAACTTAAGGAATGTAGACATGTCGGAAATGATTTATGGTTTCATCCNCATTAAGATACAATGACAAAGAAATTTATCTCACTATTTGCTTGAGGTTTCGTTTTCACGACACCGTGTAATAATAGCAATCTTTAACATTTGCGCTATTCTGTTTATTGTATCCGTGCAACATGGCAAATATTAAAGATGCATTAGTATGTTTTTTTTTTTTTTTTTTTNTTTTCAAAATTACATATGTTTTAATTTTAACTTCTAAATTGATTTAAAAGATTTTAATCTGATTTAAAATTTAATTAAAGGATATGTCGAAATTTGGTAGACGAGATAGTTTGGTACATCAAGCTAGCGTTGATCGCTTACAAAATGCTGCAATAAAGCAACAAAATGTTGAAAAACATCGGCGAGAAATTGCGGAATCATTAGAATATGCTCGAGTTTGTTGAATGAATAGTTTACTTTAATATTTGTAATATCTTTATAATTTGTAAACATTCGATAAAGTTTGACAGTAAATCTTTTGATAAAATAGTTAGAATCTATCGATTGGAAATAGCAACTCAAACAATTTCTCGAAACATTCTTCCAAATTATTCTATCTCATAGTTGCACTAATTGATTACTGGAAAGGACTGTCATGTGCTTCTTTAATTTATTTGAAATATATCTAAGAAATTTTTTTTGCAATATAAATAACACCTTGAAACGATAGTGAAAAATATTGAAATCACCAATAATCATGCTCAAATGCGACTATTTTAATTTCCTGCATTTTCTTTTTATTTTTTTGTTTTTAATTTCAAAAAAAAAGCCAAACATAATTGTTAAACATTCAGTGGTTTAAAAATAAATTTGATAAAAAGACATTTAAGCATTCAATGATTTAAGAATAAACTTGATAAAAAAAAACATTTATTTTTATCTATAATTTCTTTTACTTTACTAAAAATATTAATCTAGCCTAACCAATCGCGAGTAATATAACTTAGTCAAATTTTTCTCAATGTTCATTTAAAAGAATAAATCGAAGAAATGGTCTGATCATTTACAATAATTGCTGAGAACAAAAAAGCGGATAAATGCTACAAAATTTTTACAATCATTTCTATGATTTGAATAAAAGATTGCATGATGGATAAAGCTTATCATCTTCCGTGTGGTTACTTTCAATCTCCGTGATATCGATGCTATCACCAATCTTTTTCTCATTTTTTTACTTCTTCTACTTTTTATTATATGCAAACTTTTATCTTTTACTGTCAGATAATGTTTATTGTATTTATTCAGATTCTAAAATTACTAAACGATGAAGGAATCGAATTGATTTGGTCGTCCGGTGCTAATGTATCGATGAGAATCGCTGTTATATTAGCTGCGGAAGGTAATTTGTTGTTTCCAACATTTGCATTCCCATGAAAAATCTTTAGCTGTAATTAGTTGCTAAAAAAAATAACAGATGAATTTTCACTTTTTAAAATGCATTATTATATCGCAAAATAATTGTAATAAATATTACTTAAGCTTTGCTTCATTATTTACTTTATTCTTCAACAGAGGATAGCACTCAATTTTTGTCAACAATTTTGATGGAATATAAAATAAACGGTGTACGTCTGAAACATCTGGAAATACGTCCGGAACAAAAACAAAATGAATCATTTGTAGTATGCGATATGAAGAAAAATTTGAAAGGTTATCAAAAATTTTAAAAACAAATTTTAGAATAAACTTTCAAATATTTTGAATTAGATAAATTGACTAAACATACAATGAAGAAAAGAAGTGTTTTCCAAAATAAGCAATTAATTATAAAGTTCTTTGATAGTGACAATCTTTTGATCTTATCAAATTCTTTATGTTTCATTTTAAATTAGTACCAATAATCATAAATGAAAAGCATTGTCAGCTATCAAGTATATTTGTCATCTACAAATAAAAGCAATTAGACACTTATCGATTAAAAATACTTTGAGCAAATTTTTCTACCTCTATAAAATTTTAATTTTTTTTTTCATTCAAAAAGAATAAGCAGCATATGTATATTTGTTTAAATCTGAATTTTTAGTGGAAAAACTAATAATAATTAATCAATTTTTTTTAGTGAAGTTTGAAATTTTTACTGATTGTGAATGCACGAAAGATGCATTTCTGAATGTAACAAAATGTCTAGCAGATCGGTATCACATCTTACGATTAAATATTTATGGTAGTACCGATGGATCATTTGAAAAAGGTATCTTTTCAAAAGTATTATTAATTTCAAATGTTTATAAAAAATACTGGCAACTTGTTTTTAAACTTTTTTCATGATTCATAAATTATTAAGGGGAAAATTAAGATATTCTATTTTGGATCTTTAAATTGAATAATTAAGTTTCTGAAAATTTTAGCATTCTGTTCATTTGTGCTAACATTTTCGCAAAAACAACAAGTTAGTTAAGATATTGTAGTAAATAAGAGTAATTTAAATTATTTGGTCGCTTTCAAGTTCCATGGTTTCCAAAGCATATATCTGATCTTGACAAATGTTATCATTGTGTGATAAAGTATGAGCCAACATCTGACCCGCGACATCCGGCAAGTTTTCTCCGTAACTTTTTATAATTAAATTTTTAAAAAGTATCATCTCAATTTTTTGATCGGTACACTGAGCTATTCCATAGTTTTTGTATGTATTTCCCGATTATTTATGAGACTATTATGATGGTTGTTATCAATTTCATTCATTGATTATTTTAGGGACATGGTGATAACGCATATATTCAACGAAGGGAACAATTGAATGTAATTGCCAAAGCTTATAAATAGTAAGTTTACTGGCTAGCGTTCACTTTTAATTTTCCGCCTTCTCAATGAAACCTTAAGTATTTTCTTCCTATTCATCCAATATTTTCTTCATTCATTATCTATCACTATCAGAATGAAAATTACCGCAAATGATGCATATCAATGTGGTTATATGCTAGTGATAGAACATTTCAGGCTAATTTCTATTTCAGTGGCGATAAATTGCCAGATATTGAATATAGTCCAGAAGAGCACAAAACTTGGGAAGTTGTTTTCAATAAATTGAAATCATTGCACTCCTCCCATACTTGTATGGAATATCAGCAAAATTTTAAACAAATGGAATTGGAAGGCCTTCTAGAACCTACTCGAATACCAAAATTATCGCTTGTTAATAAATATCTACAACGTAAAATTTGCAAAGTTTCTCAAAATTCTCATCAATGTATTGCTCAATGTCATAGAATAATTAATTGTGTTTAAATTGATTTTAAAAAATTGTACTTTAGAATGGATTAACTATTTTCATTTTCCTGGAAAATCTTGAAAACAAAATCATCTAAGGTTTTGTTTTCATCTGAGGCCTTATTTTGCATTCGATATTTCTGTTGCTCCAGCTTGGTATATTAAAATAACACAATTTATTTTATAACCTTCACGATAAATTATCAAAATCTCGAAATTTTCAGCTCAATCTTTAATTCTTAAACTTTTTCTATCTTATTAATAAATAAGACTAGTCTATAAGTTTATTTATGAATAGTTATGTCACTTTGCACACAGATATTATTTATCAATAGTTATATACAAAGTGATATAATTATTCATAAAGAATATCTTATTTGATTTTAATTTAAAGAAAAAATTATCACGAATAATATTACAAAATTCAGAATAATGACAATTAGCTTTACAGGTAAAACTGGATTTACA